TTGCATGAAGAAAATGTCTCCGCGTTATGGTCTGTATCCCCGTGTATGATTACTGATGCAATCATTTACAGATTTTCTTTAAGAGTACAAACTTTTTGGCAAACCAATTCATTAGATGAAATTTTAAATTTAAACGACCAAAACGGATATCCGTTACGGACCGCCTACTGGACGCAGGAATACGGATCATAACATCATTAAAACAGAGCCGTATACGGTCGTATTTTCACAGTATACGACACGTATTATTGTGCTCAGAAACGGTACCGTTTACGGGGCCGTATATTGTGAAAATACGTACGGCCCTATACGGCCCTATTTTAATGATGCTACGGTCCGTATTCCTGCGTCCAGTAGACGGTCCGTATATGGACCGTATCCTTCGACCTGGGTAGTTTTCTATGAAAAAAACTGATAGATTGTTATCTCAGTATTCGGAGATCCGAACTGGTTTTCTAAAGACCTCCTAGAAAACCCATCTTTTGAATATTTTTCGAAAAGGATTTTGCTTATGAAAACATTGGTAAAACTGTCTTCTTTCGATCGCTGAAAATCCCAAATCTCTATCTTTTGTCGTCTTTGAGTTATTCGAAAAACAACTACCGGCCTTATATTTTGCTGCCGATAATACTTAATCGCTTTTTTCTGACACAAACAAGCACTTTTCCGCAACATATGCTTGCGCATGTGCCAGATGACATTGATACATGTATATATAAACTTTCCGAGTTTTGCCGTTTCATTTGAGATACTACAAGATTTTATTTTGCGATGTTCGTTTTTCGTCGTTTTTGGGACCATTTCAGCCTCTCCCGGTAAATCCATCTATGAGCATGCTCCAAAACGGAAGTTAGCGTCCGATAGTCCAAGTGGTGTAGTATACGGTTGACTATGTCGATTTATATAACAAGTGCCTTCGGACATAAAAATTTAGTTTTAACATGCTCTAATTTCACTTTCTCTGAACTTGTGATGGCCTACACCCCTAGTGAACTACGTTTCTCTTCTTCTTCTTCTTTATTCCGTACCTGGCGCTTGATAAGCAGGTCTTCCCCGTAACCAATACGCTGCTGTCGGTGCCGCTGGTTGACTCGAGTCATTCACGATTTGCTTCCATCTTCGGCGATCTGTGGCGATGTCTCTGGCCTCTCCCGTGGAAATCCGTTGGGGCTGTGTTATCGCTACCTACTGTGAAACTTTGGTCGGCAAAACTGGACATCAGTTGAGCAGCTTAGGTCGTGCCCACAGTGCAATGGCTCATAAGATCATTTCCTTTACAGTCAAGGTGACTGAATTGAATATATTTTCTACTTTTCTACCCATCAATGAGCCACATCATTTTTTCTATTTTTCGTGTATTAGTGTGGATTAATTTATTCTTTTTCTTTTCTTTGTCTATCTTCTTTTATGTCTAAATCTATCTTTCATTTGTGACATCGCTTTTTCTATTTCTCTATTGGTGGATTTTGATGACCCAGAGAAACAGTCGGCACAATCAGACATTATTTTTTTCTAAGAACCCTTCCTTCCAGTAAGGGAACTAAAATCTAAGCACTTTGGTGTCTATGTGGAACTTCACTTTCACAGTTTGTAATGAGCAATTTTATCTCGTGTTCTGAGCAGTTTGGACACCATTAGCACCGAAACTGCATAATGAAACCAGAAAGGAAACTGCGTTTTTCCTATGTCACTATTGGTACGAGGACTGACGACTAAGTGCATCCGCTATAGTGTCACTACAACATATAGGATATTCAATATTCGAACTGAAATTCATTGGATGAAAATTTTAGATTTAAATTAGCTTCAAATAACATTTCCTTTCCCCATATTTTTTTGTTATGCTCAAGCGCAGCAACTGAGATCTCCGATGAGGGCGCCGAACGATGAATCTGCAGCACAGTCTGTTAGTGGCGCCCTCATCGGAGATCTCAGTTGCTGCGCTTGAGCAAAACAAAAGAATATGGGGAAAGGAAATGTTATTTGAAGCTAATTTAAATCTATAATTTTCATCCAATGAATTTCTGTTCGAATATTGAATATCCTATATGTTGTAGTGACACTATAGCGGATGCACTTAGTCGTCAGCCCAGCGTCAATGGTTGAAATACTTGGCCGGCATAAGGATTTTCACCTATGTTCGTCCTTTCAACACTCCGTTAGTCGTTTTTCTTCTATAACGAAAAATTATGATTTGTTGGGAAACACACCATTGGATAGCCCTTGAAATTCTCTACATAGTGAGCAGTACAGTGTGTCATAATCACAAGAACGTATTTTTGCCTTTTTAGTAAAAGCTGGAACCAATCTGAATAAGGTTTTGAATAGCCCGAAGATTTGTGTATCAGATGAGCTGCATGTCGCCCTTTCATGCCCAAAGTTTAAAATAGAGCTTCTGGAAAACCAGGTCCTTACAATTTGGTCGGAAAATTTTGCAAACCATAATTTTTGCAATTTCGTCTGATAGAGCGAAGAAATCGGAGCAAAATAACATATCGCCCGGCATTCTACATTGCTTTTTCACCGCAAGAGTTTTGTAACTTTCACGGCTTTCGTAGATAGTGGTAAATCGACTGTAGTTACGTGAAAAAGCACTATGAAATGCCGGAAGATATCATATTTTGCTCAGATTTCTTCGCTCCATCAGACTATATGGTTTCAGAAATTTTCTGACCAAGTGGTAACGACTTGGTTTTCCAGCAGGCAGGTTTTCCAGTAGCTCTATTATCAACTTTTCGCATGAAAGGGCGACATGTACCTCATCTGATAGACAAATCTTCGGGCTATTCAAAACATTATTCAGATTGGTTCCAGTTTATCGCATGATGTATAAAATAGGGTGGTTAACGACAAAATCAATCGATACATGAACGACGCGGACCTACCGATTTCCTCAGATGCTACTGAGAATTTCGGAGTCTAGACTACGCAGTTACATTTGTTTGACACTATCATATCATTTTGTAGCCCGTGAAATTCTGTATCGAATGCTGTGTAAAGTACAGTGGTGCACGACAAAATTAGTCACCGTTATAAATATGAGCGACGTTGGCCTACCGGTTTCCTGGGATGCTATCTAAGATTTAGCTAATGCTAAAATTTAGAAATATGTTAGCGTTAATCGTGGACAAAAACTGCATCAGATGAGTTAACATAAGACTGATTTGAGCGTGGGCCGATTTTGCGTCTTATCGTCCCCCGTCATTTGAAACTTTCCTTAACTAAGAGATCTTTTTGTTTTTTATCTGAAGAACGTCTTTCGATAGATTCTCATACAAATTGTTTTTCGTCTTACTAATCGGTATTTTTACTCTTAGAACAAAAACGTATTAGACGAGAAATGATAATATTCAGCATACATAATATTTCTCTTCTTTTGAATCCAGGTTTCAAAACTTGATGAAATTTAAGCATTTACGTACTAAAACAGCATAATCAGTCTGCTGTCATACGTATCATTGTACAATCGGAATTAGATCTTCTTGCAGCAATACTATTATGAAGAACGTTAGCGTCTCGTTAGCACTCTTTTCAATATTATTCTAATCGAATGATTTTCACATAAATAAACTCTAAAAATACTTACTATTTTAGTATTTATAGTAGAAAATATGTACCAAAATTCTTAGAGCTGTTCAACACAAGCGGTGTTACAAGAATGATGGAGAATATAAACAATCACAATATTTGTACTAAGACCGTACTATAATTCCGTATCTAAAAATAGATTTTCTCATGTCTTTTTCTGATTTTTTTTATTTGTAAAAGTTTTTTGAATGTTAAAAAGACTGAAATAGTAGTAAGAAATTTTTAAAATGAACATAGGACAATAAAAAGAAAAAAAACTGATATATGCGTATGATATATGTAATTTTTTGTTTAAACTACACACGCACACATTCACTGCTTTGACTGCTCCTGCTGCTGCTTATTTTGGTTGTTAACGGTTTGCTAATGTAAAATGGTAATAAAAGAAGTAAAATAATTTGTAAAAGAGAAAAAGAGAAAAAAAAAAGTGAAAAAGAGATGTTGCTGCTGCTGTTTGTTTTGTTGCTGCTGCGTACCACTATTATTATGCCCAATAATAATAAATGATGTTGATAAACGGTGAAGATATCTAATAACCAGATAATTCGTTGAGTGTTTGATCGAGTTCTTCGCTGACACCTTTGTATTTTTCTTTTTCGGCCAAAAGTTCGTCTAAAAAGTAGAAATTTGAACGTCTTTTAAATACAGTTTTTTTCAGCAAAAGTTCAATGAATGAAGTCTTACTGATTGATAAAAAGATATAAATATGAAAAATGAATATATATTTATATACATATATGTACATAAACATTAAATATAAGAAAATGAATAAAATTCAATGAGCAAGCAGGATAAATAACACAACACATCTCAAAGCACATTCTGTAAATCATTAATCATGGTATCCATTTCACGTTGTAAATTTCTATTTCGATCACACGTCACATTTATTTCGTCTGAAATAGATAGGGGGGAAACTACACATCAAATATCATGTCATGCTGAATAAGAGACGGTTAATAAAGACTGCAGAGGTGAAAAGCAAAATCATGCAATTGTATGTAAATTAAATTCTACAATACTAAGAATATCACACTTAGAAAATCTGATCCATACATTCACTAAAACAAATTGATCGTAAAAGCGTGTCATGTTATGGAGTGAGTATGCAGCCGCGTCTATCCTGTAGGACGTTTGAAGCACAATGCTTCAAACAAAAGTAGGTGAGACGCTTTTTTTCTGTAAAAATTCATTTTTCAGATGGTACACTGAAGACTCGAACCTCTGAGGTGGCACAAAAAGCCTCAAATGCTTAAATGGTGATAGATGCCGTTGTGAGTATGTTAGTGCACAGCAAAATAAATGGTCTAGTCATGGAAATAATTCTCTCAAATTTTCTTTATAAATGCTTGTCAAGTTCTGCACCCGCTAAATAATCCTTCTAACCCCATCCCTCGTCAGATACAGTGAGAAATATTCAGATTGTATCCAGACTTAGTCAAAATTCTGATTTTTTTTTTTGTTGGAAGCAAAACGTTGTGGTGGTTGATACCTTGTAATCGATCTGCTTTTTTTTGTAAAACAAGCATCATTCTGCCAGCATGCTCAGCTTTTGCCTCAATCTATAAGTTTGAAAATAAAAAATAGAATACAAAAAAACACCAGGCTCGAATAAAAACAAAGGAGTAAACACATAGACGGACGCATGCATACAGAAGCATTCTTAAGTAAACTATCACCAAATACATGCAACATAAATCACATGCTCGAAATCTAATGGGACAGACATATTACCTTCAAGACGGTCGACCTCTTTTTGAAGTTTAGCCATTGTACGTTCAGCTAAATCAGCTCTTTGTTCCGCCTACAGACAATTTTTGCATATATACACGCGCACACAAACATATATAGATTCTATCTTTTACTACTTACATCTTTAAGACGAGTTGTTTGATCACGAATTTGTTCTTCATAACTTTCTTCACGTTGCATAGCCTAAAAATAGTCAAAAGCATCATGGCATTTATTATACTGCAATTAATGAAAATCAGACAATTCTCATGCGTGGAAGGAAACAAATCGAGGGTATTGAATATTTTTCTACCTCTTGTTCAGAAACTTCCAAAGATTTCATGTTGTTACCAACAACCTTCAACTCTTCTTCAAGTTCCAAAATTTTGCTAGAAAAAACAATATAAAAATGTATTTAAATACCTTTGTATAATAAATTTCTTTTGAACGTAATTCATAATATAAATGTTTCAAATCTTCTTCAAACTTTGCAATTTTACTAAATAATATAATAATAGATACATGCAATGCAATGATCAAACACATGCGGGAATAATAAAGAATAAAGTTTGATTGACTCTTGAAATTATAGAATATGAAAACTGTTCGTTGCTATATCCTCATTACGATAACATTTCCATATCACAAATGAAATTTGAATATCCACAAAATTGTGTGAAAAACTCTTTTTGTAGAATCATTTTCTTTCAAAACTGGGATCTTTGTATAAATGTATTTCTAAAAAAAACGACAAAAAAACTTACGTTTCTGATCTAGATGCTCGATCCTCCGCCCTGTCTAATTCATTGTCTCGTATTTTCAATTTACGTACTACCTGTTGAAATAGAAATAAATAAATGGAAACACACATGCATGAATAATAATAATAAACATTAAACATTACATAATGTACAGAAAGAGAGAGAAGATACAAACATGCATTGGGTACTTATACTCAAGCAAAAGAAAATATAATCCAAATAAACATGAACCAATAACAAAATCATCACGGCAAACTCATTCGTCATTTAATTAACTTACGCCTCAGCGGCTTCAGCTCTATCCTCAGCTCGTTCTAAGTCAACTTCCATAATTGCTAAACGACGAGCAACCTGAATTTTTGAATAAAAAGAAAATACAAGATTATTATCTGCTAATAGAAAATCACCAGAAAAAAACGTATATATTGACCAAAACCATGCAAATATAGCAAAATCAAAACAAAACTATCTGATAACGATTTCGTGTGAGAAGTATTACAATAGCAAACAATAGTTTAAGTAGGGGAAAAATACAGTGCGTTTTTCAACTTGTCGTTGATATTTATGGTATGGAATATGAATAAATTGATCGTGGGGATAAAAAAACAATATTGTCAATAAATTTGAAAAAGAAATAAACTTAGCATCATGCTTAAGAAAAACTAAGAACGCTATCATTTTCCTCAAAATATCATGCACATTTTCTCACAAATAAATCACCTCATCATATTTTCGATCTGAATCTTCAGCAATAAGTTGAGCCTCTGCTAATTGTTGTTCTAATTGTGCAATACGTTCATCATCTTGATATGTACGCTGTTCAAGTCCTTTTCGGCCACTATAGACAAAAAATTAGATATACCGTAACAATAAAAAGATAGTTTTTAAAATTCTTGAGCAGCCCTCCACGTTGTTCACAATAAAAAGTAGTGAAACAATCTCGATTACTTAAGTGAGAACAAATAACTTAACTATTACAAAACTACAATAAACTTACTAAACTATAAAACAACAACAGATTAGCCAGTAGGAAAACAGTATGTATTAGTTTCATTAATTTCTACCTACTATGTTAATATTAGTAATTAAATTAGTAGCAGAATTTTATTATTTTTAGCGCTGTCACACTACCTCGTCATATCTCCTGTCGTTTGCTGTTGCTACTTGTCTTGTCTCTTTGAGTAATTGCTCAAGATAATCATAGTTGCTTCCATCTTTTGATACTCTTTCATCAAGTATCACACGTTTTCTGCATGCAGAATGATAAATAAAACTTTATAATAATGAGCAGAGAGTGAGACAACAACATTGAACTCAAGCTATTAGATTTACTAAATCTCGAAAAATGTTTTTGCTAATACAATAAACTTACCGTTCACTTTCATCGGCAGCTTGTGAAGCTTCGTCGAGTTTCGATGTTGCTTGTAATAATCTTTCTTCAGCACGTTCCAAATCTTCTTCAACTAATTGTAGACGACGGCCGAGGGCAGCAACATCAGCTTCAGCCTAAAGAATCAAAGAAAAAAAAACTGAGTGTTATGTACAATATCAGCAATATCAGGTTTTCTCTAAAAAGACGTTTCAATTAGTGCGCACTTGTTCTCTTAAACGTTTTTCATTTTCTCTTTCTACTCTATATTCTTGTAATTGATCTTGTGAAAAAGCAAGCTCATCTTTTGTCTGCTGCATACGACGTTTTATTGTTTCCATAATAGAAGCACCAGCACTACCAGGAGACATTGCATTTGACTCAGTATGATGTACAAAATCATTTGTTGATGGAGACGTATGATTTTGATTAAATGGATTTATATTTGAAGAGGCAACAGATTTTGTGGTAGAACGTCCAGTAGTTCCATTAGAAAATGATGATGAATTAAAATTTGAAGACATTTTCTAAGCGAGCTCAAAACGTTTTGGCAGTAGTGTGAGAAAACACGACCTACTGGTAATTTGTTTTACTTAACGAGATAGAAAAACAGATCAAAAAGTTAAGATACGTCAGAAGCAAAAGTGTGAAACAATACTCCACAACTTTTTGACCTTTTAAGTTGATTTTAACGATTTGTCTATAACGTTTGCATTTGACATATCTTAATTACCAAAAGGAACAGAACGAGTAAGCTCTTACGATTTAGAATGATTTGGCCAATACGAGTAAAGTGCATAACTAGTTTCAGTTCTTATAGTGTAAAAAAACATTACCAAAAATAAAAGTATACTGAAAAAAACTTTCAAAAATAAGCTAGATTGAAGACAAGACTGTCAGATAAATTATGGTATCTAGTAATCATCTCTTGAATTATGCGTTCTTTAATTTGAAAGAGGAGAGAAGAGGGTTCGATTTCTTCTGATCTTCATTAGGTCAGAATAAATGCTTTCATTATAATTTCTTCTATTAAGTGCTAATATCAATATGATTTAGCATTTAATGAAAGAAACTTAATGAAAACTTATTCATTAATTAAATACATTAATTCGAATGTGGTAACTAACAATACCTGTTTTAAAACATTTATAATGTCTATGACTTCTGCTTGTATAATAGAAATTTTTAAATTAAATGTAATTTGTGATGAATAATTCGTATTATTTGGCTGATATATTTCATAACCCGGTTTTACTCGACGCCTTGGTGTTGTTTTTTGTTTTTCTCTAGTATTATTATTATTATTTTCATTTTTATTATATTTACAAGGAGAAAAATTTGACTCATTTGTACATTGAATGTAATCTTCTGCTCCATCTGGTGGCAAACGAGAGTATATATTTAATGATGGACAAGAAGAAGAAGTAGATGAAAAATTGGAATGCTGATTATTGATATTAGTCTCTGAGAAGAATAAATCTGTTTCAGATGGTGCTAATTGTTGATATTCTCTTAAAATTTCATATTCTGATATTTTTTGACGTATTTGTTTTATTTTTTCATTACGTAATATATAACTGATTGCTTCATCACGACGTTTTCCCGACGAATAATGTGGATCTAGTGAAGTATATTGTTGAAAACGTGTTTGTTGTTGTTTGGGTGAATATTGATAATATTTATTTTGTTGTTTTCTATTTTGATTATTTGACTTATGTTGATGTGAAGAAGAGACAGGCGAAAGATGATGATGACGTTTGGCTTGACGTTCTTTAAAAAGATTATAAAATTCAATGGCATTTATTTGTCCTGTAGACAATAATGTACTTAAATTATCGTATGATTTGTTTTGTCTATTACACATTGTTGTCGATATTATTATTATTATTCACACAGATAGGAAAAGAGAGAAAGAGAGAGCAAGTTTATTGAACTTAACGTCGGGGATAAAATATATATGTTTATCTGTGAACGATATTTGGTTTATCATAAAGATGACTCGTTGATATAGTTATAGTATTTTCCTAGTATTTGATTGTTTCCTTCTATATGTACACACATACGGATAGGAAATGTTTTTCTTCCAGTTTTTTCATGCGCAATATTTTTCCTTTCAGGATGATATATCTTTGTACATTCACAAAAAAAACACACATACGTAAATAGAAAATGCCGTCCATATAACGGTATAGATGTTTATCAGAAATATTACATTGTTAAATAGCGCAAACGTATATGATAGAAGAAGAAAAAGTATTGAAATCCAAACAATATCTAATGTCATAGTCAATACACTGATAAACATTGATTAATCAGTATTAGATTTTTTTTAGTAGAACTAATTTGAAACATCTAATGGAGGGAGGCCTAACAACGAACTATACACCTCTTAGAGAATATCAGTATATATCTTCATGTATAGAGTTTTCTTTTAGCTTCTAGTTTTTTTAACTTACGTCAGTTGCTTTTTTTTCTGAACCTTCTAGTTTACCATTAGCTTCTGCCAATTGTTCTTGTGCTGTATCAAGTTCAGTATCTAATTGTTGAATACGTTTTTGAAGACCATTTATTTCTTCTTCCGACTATAAAATAAAATAAAAAATAATTATTATGTGAATCAGATTAAAACGTATATAAATATGTACAGTTTTAAGTTTTTCTTCAAAATCTTTTTGACGATTTTCTGCTTGATCAGCACGATCAATAGCATTTTCTTTTTCAAGCTTCATGGCTTGCATTTTCTTTTTGATGGAATCCATCGTTGCTGTTGTATTGGCCGACATGATTGTAAATATTTACCTATATTCAAACACTATCTGAAATATATGAAAACGTGAAATGAGACGACATTTGGCCATGACTTTATTTTTTTCAAATAAGAAATTATATAATATAAAAAAGAAAACATATTTTATAAAGTACGTGATTCTTGATAATGATGACTACATGCCAAAATATATCCTAATATATTTTTTATCTACGTGCGAGCTAATATAATTTTATCGATAATTAGTGATGATAAATGTATCGTTGTTCGTCTATTTTAGTCTTTTCAAAATATGATTTAATTAAAACCATATTGAATAGATTCACTCTAGTTTGTAGTAAAAACTCAAATGCTCATAAGGGAAAAACTTGCGAATTTTTTCGTCTGCTGTTTTTTATTTCGATAAGTAAAGATCTAATACTATTTGATAGTGCTCAACTAACCTCATACTTGGAAGGATCAAATTGTATCCACTGAAAGAAGAGGGTAAATTGTCAAATAGAGAGAGAAAGAGAACTTGAGAACCCTATTCTTGAATGTAGGTAGTATCAGTATAATAATACGTTACCTTTTCTTTTTTTCAGGAGTAAATGTAAGGATTGTTGAAACTAAAAAAGAATTTAGAAAGCGATAATGCGTACGGTATTGTTGTTTTTATTATTGTATGACTGGATGCAAAAATTAAGAGTAGAAGAAATTAGCACAACACTCAAAAAAAAATATATATATACAAACATCTCTCTAGCTTGATGTTGTTCACTCAACTAAGTTGAGATGGTGATGATGATGATCTTAGGATACACACGCACACACAACAAATACGGAAGGAAAAAAAAATCCTGATCGGATAATAAATATTAAGATGAAAAGAGCGACTAGAAAAAAAAGAAGAAAAAAACTAGCTTCGTGTTTTGTTTTATGTATAGATGTGGAAATGTGACGTTAATTCCATATATTGCAACCACCAACTATTCTCACGTAGACGTACACAACAGGAGGAAAATAGATACGCAAGAAAAAAAGAAGAAGTACATGGATAACTGTGGTTTATTATTCGTTATGTATATATTCTGTACTGTTTACTTGTCATCCAAAAGAGGAAAATTGTACAATTATTTATCGATGTCTGTATCTCTTAAACAACGCATGTACCATTTTTCTCTTCTTTTCTCGAATTTTCCCAAATATTTACGCCTATCTCATTTGCTTAACGATGATAACAACATTTTCTTTAGTCCATAGACTATAACCGAATAACGAATTTTTGTTCTCTTTTTATTATTATTATTTTTTCTTCTTCTCTTTTGTGTACTTATGGATGTTTATTATTACTTATTACATATTGTAGAAAATGAATATGAAGAAGAAGAAGAATAGAGAAAACCTTCTTGATATTACTGATTTATTTTTCTTAGAACTGTAAATGCTGCTGTTAGTGAAGGAAACATTTATACAACGAGTAGTAGTAACTCATGTGTTTAAATTTAGTAGGAAAAGAGAGATATCATACACACAAAATATTATCGAGACGACATACATACAATAGTTTTGTACTATTTTTACATATTCTCTAATGTTAACAACTTTTCTCTCGTTTCCAGATTAAGAAAAAATTATTTATTTTTCTCCCATCTTTTTTTAAAGTATCCAACAGAAATGAATCGATTGTTAAGGGAATCAAATTACTTTTAGGCTATTTTGGAAAAAAGACATGTTTTTGTGTAATCTAAAGATATTGTATTCGACAGAGATTGTTAATACATACGATGTATAGAATTATTTAGCATCGGAAACAATAAAGTTGACACCTTTTCATGTTTTTGACGGTTTTGAACCATTTGTCTCACTGAATCTGAACATTACAATATGTTGCTCTTGAAACTTGGAGTTCGCAGATAAAACTCGAAGGCAAATTCACAAAAAATCTGTATTTATGAATTTTTGTGAAGAGTAATGAACTTGACCATTTTGTGTATTGTCAAAAGTATCGCTCTTGCAGCAAGTTAAGTGGGCAGACAAATGTATAGGCAATTTTGTATTATTTTTTTCTTTAACGATGACAGTTAAACTTAAACTATGATAGTTAACTTTAAAAAAATGAATTTTAAGACTTGATTTTTTAAAGTTTTTTAAAATCTTGGTTTTCCAAGGATGTAGTTTGCAGGAATTTTAAATGAAATTCTTACATACATCTTATCTGATCAGAGATTCTTTCAGTTACCAAAATCACTTTTTATCATTGATCTGATTATCATAGTTGAAGAAAAAAAACAACACAAAATCGCCTAAACGTCTGTCCGTCATTTTATTTTATCGTTTCTGTTATGTAACTTGAAGATGAATGTTGAGTGGGATACTTATATAGCGTGGGTTAAAACACTTTCTCATAAACTCTCATTTTCTAGTTGAAAATAAAATAATAAGAAAAACAGTAAATATTATACATAAAAAAAGAGACAAAAGATTTGTTAGAAATTGCTTGTGAAATATGGTGATAATTGTAGATTATCATCAGGCGTAATGGTGGGCATGATATTGTTATTACAATAAAACGTTTCATTTACCGATGAAATCGATGGAGGATAGCATAATGGAAAAACTGGTGTAGAAGATTTTAAACTAGGACAATCATTGACAGTTATTGTTGTTGATGTACGTCCGTTATTGATAAAATTGGATGATGGCCATAATCCATGAAAATCTTGCGGACAATGTATATTACCATGAGTAAATTCAGACAGATAGTCGTTTGAATGATTGTATGTTCCATAATCATCCGTATTGTTATTCTGCTCAAACTCTGGTTTTGTTTTTGTATTATAAAAAAATGTATTATGATCATATGATGATGAAAAATCAGTGTGCGATAAATGTTGTCCATAGTCAGAGAGTTCTTCCGAATCTGTTCTTGTTGTTGTTGTTGTTCCCAATTTAAAACGTTTTGGTCTTCTTAAAAATGACCCATTACCAAACATATCTTTACATTTTGGATGTATTGACCAATAATTTCCTTTTCCATGTTTACCAGGTGTTCGTGGAACTTTAATAAAACAATCGTTAAGACCTAAAATAGTTCAACATTAATAAAGCTAGATCAACACTATAGAGATGGATGAACAAACTTAGATTATGACGAATTGAGTTTTGCCATCTTTGTTGATTTTGAGAAAAATATGGAAATCGTTCTTGAATAAATTTGTAAATTTCTAAACAAATGGAAAATAATTTAAAATACAAACGTAGATGATAATAATATATATGGCTTACCATTCAGTGTCATCATACCATTTTTTGAACTTTCAATAGCTAATGTAATTAGAGCAATGTACGAATAGGGTGGTTTAACTTCAGCAAATCTTCGACCTTGCTGAGATAATGTCGATGTTCCTATAAAAAAAGAAAGAAGAAAATTTCAAAACAGATTAAATTTTGTTTTATTAAACAAGAGAATGACTTGCCCGATAATTGTGTTACATCGATATTATCAATTTCTGTCACAAGTCCTTTCGTTATTGCTTCTTTAGCATCTTTTTCGGTTATCTGAGTTTTTGTTTTTGAACGATTTTCATTCGTTCGTCTTATTCCTTTGATTTTTTCATTTTTTATTGATGTTGAGCTAGAACAAATTTTTGAATGAGAAGATGTGGATGCTGTTGATGATGATAATGACATTAAATTGTATTTTTGTTCTCGAAGTGGGCCTACAGATGATGCGTTTTGTTGAAGAAAATCTTCGCGCATTGAAAAGTCAATCTAAAGTAAAAAGTCGAATTCAATGCCAAAGATTATAGTATAGGCCAGTTCTAGTCATTTTTAATATCATGTTAATTTGTAATCAGTTTAATGAAATCTAGACTCATATAATCTCTTATTTTTCTTCTTATTCTGGAATATGTGAATAAATAAATTCTTTTCCTGAACATATCCCTCGTCACTTGAACTTTAATTCGAAACTCTCTTGACTCCTCCGTAATTCAATTTATATCTCTGTCGAAGTAAAAAAGGTTGACATATTTTTAACAACATTGTTTGTACTACTTACCTGAAAGTTGGCAATATCAAATGGGAAATGCTCTGTAATATATCCTCTGAACAAATATTGATAAATTTTGATTTGTATATTTTTATTTTCTATGGCATAGTTGTCTGTCATACATGACCAATGATAGAACGTCTATTATTTTAAAATGACATTATTTTGAGGAAGATGAAGAATGAAAAAATAAATCATTGGATAGAAATGAAGAGAAAAATTTTAACAAACATAGTCCTTTAATCGAAAGTGAATTTATATATTGGATATTATGGCTGAAGAAAGAAGCTGACAGAGTATCTATCTCATATACAGTTTTAAATGTATTTTTAATTAGATCTAATTATTTGTATAGTTAGATAAAGTTTTATCGTCAATTATAAATATGACATTAATTTTCTTTAATAAAATGCAAAAAAGCTCACGTTTTAGTTGTATGAGTATGAACAGAAACGTGTCAAGTTGAATCTGAAAATGGGTTCAGTTATTCGAACAAAAACATTTTTCATTTAAACTTCTTCAACACAACAACATAGTGCTAGATTCATTTCTGACTCGAGTAAAAGTGAGAATTAGACGATGGAAACGAGTAAACATCACATTTATCAATACTGAAATAGTGTATGTATACGAACTAAGATGTGTACTTTGATTATATTCTTTTATTTGTAAATGGTTTTTTGTTCTCCGTTTCGCATTATAACTTTTTCTTTATTCTCACTATACTAATCATTTCAGCAGAAACTAATTGGATACCGTTTGAATAAAAGCAAAACGGCAATTATCAGAATAAGATGTAATTTTACACATTCTATGTGTAATTTTTATATTCTTGATTTCTTTAATTATATATATAAAATGTTTTAACTAAAAAATCTGCTAATTCGCAAATCTCCATCGTAATCGTCCCATATACAGTCAAACAACAAAAATAATATATTTGCTTCATTGCATAGCAAAAACAAAGCAGTGTCCTGGCGAAGAAGAAAAGCAGATGTGGTGTAAGTTTTTTAGGAGTACGGTAAAGAACTTTTGGGAGAATGTGCTTTCTTATTGCTGCTTGTTGCTATAATCTTCTGAACAAAACAAATGCCCTCAAAAAATATTCTTGAGAAAGCCTTTTGATACAGAGAATAGAGTAAATGAAAAAGTAGTACACCTATCGCCACCAGGCTGACGAAATGCTTCAAAAAGAAATATACAGAAAGGTCGAAGATAGTTCACCTGATCACTGTACTTTTTTTAAAGTTGGTGGAGAAAACTTTTTCGGCATATTTCTGTGTTTTATACTAGACATTATTGACAAGTTCTTTATTTCGTGGTATTAAGGGACAATAGTTAAGTGGCAGTTTATATTTTCAAAAAACATTTTATTGAAGGCAGAACAAAAAATTTCGAAAATTGGACTGGAAGTTCGCCCAACCCGATCCCACCTACGTTCTACGCTCCTGTTAACAATGGCGGATTTAGGATCACAGGGGAGGGGTGATTTCTTTTGAACGGACTCCGAGGTAGTGTAAGTTTTTCTGAATTTTTTTTAAACGAAACCTCCATTAAAGTTTAGAAAATTACGGATTTCTCAGTGCGTGAAGAAAAATTTTCTGCTACTTGTCTGTAAACAAAAGTCAGTCTTACAACTAGTTCGCTTCTAAAATTATTTGCTATTCGAATTTGAACATCTTAGACTAAGGTTTCATATAGTATTTTTTTAAGATGATCTTCATTGTTTATTAGATGATCGTTCGTCCTTATTTGAAAACAAACTCATTTACTCTTGCTCTATAATCATTTATAGATGTTTCACATTATATGTATATGTGAATATAGTCAACAAAAATAAAGTCAAGTTTCACTAATTTCAAAGTTGAGACATTCTGTCATAAATATTGTTAGAATTAAGTGAGTAAGAAAATTACATTTTATAAGAGAACAAATTAAAGGATTATTACGGGTTTAAAAACAAATGGGATTGCACTTTTAGTCGAACGGCTCTTTAGAAAAAGCGGTACATATTGACTCTCTTTGATGTCGTCTATTGGTGAAAAATAGAAAAAGTTGTAATTAAAAATATATGTATCTGTTTGACTTAAGTTTTATCGAAAAAATAAGTATTTAAAAACTTTTGAAAAACATGTCATTTCGTTAGTATAAAACTTAAGTTGAAAATTAAAAATCGAAAATCAATGCAGTAGTACAATGAAATATTGTTTATCGTTGTTAAAATAGAAAGTACAATTGAAATACAAGTATATTTTAAGTTATATATCATAGGTTGGATACTTAAAAGTATCGTTAGCGTCGTATATCTTCTTATTTTGTTCAATGTAAAACTGACAAAGTTGAATCTATTGAGAATAAACAACAACAAATTTTGATAATACGTCATCGCATGATAAAGAAAAAAAGGAGAAGAAACGTGTCAGACTCACACTCGTAGCAAAGAGTGATTGATTGTTGAAAAACAAATAAATTAAATTATAATCTGCGATTGAACGGTAACACTACTGTATGACAAACAAGAACGAGAAGTGTTTTTTACTGCATACCTATTTTCTAATACATGAAAAACAGGTATCACTTGTTATCGTTTTTATCTGTGTGTTCTTACTTTCTTCTTATGACTATCGATACTAGATCTAAAGCAAGAAAATCAATAGACATTTGAACAAAAAAGAGCATAAACGAGGCAAAAACAGTTGCAAAAATCAGAACTTTTCTGCCAAAATCAGAAGATCTGCTAACAAGGAATCCCTAACTATACCCTTGTTTTTAAACCCGTAATAATCCTTTAATTTGTTCTCTTATAAAATGTAATTTTCTTATTCACTTAATTCTAACAATATTTATGAAGGAATCTGTTAACGAGTCTATTTTCTTATAAATTTAGAAATATAAGATCGAGCATTGAAACGGAAGGGATGAGACGGTGAATTTATAGAGACGATAAATATCCTGTTCATCCTGAAAACTTATTCTAGCTCACCACAAAGTAATTTGAACTAATGTATCAGGAGAAATATGAGCTACACAGAATAGAACAGCCATAGTTTGTTGACATATCGACCATAAAACGAAGAATATTGTGTGCATCAGAGAACCACGAAGAAAAAAAATTTGGATTTTCGAAGGTTGGTATACGGAATAAAACTCTGTTGTCTTACGGAGCTTTGATACACATGTTTTTATTTATAAAATTATCTTTTCTATAACTGATTGACCATAACATACAAGTTAGAAATGATCTCAACTTAAAATTATCTTAAACAGTGACTTTAAAAACGTAGACTGGAAATCAGAGATGTGCTATTTTAAGGTGTGTAATTATGTGGCATCGATTATTATTTTCTCAGGAATCGTTCACTTTTCTATTGTATAAGTAGAGAATGTTGTGAAGAATAGATGGAACTTTCACGTATAATAGACAATACTATATTGCACCCAAATGTTTATTTAGTGTCGCATCCTATAGAGACATCAGACATGTCTGAAAATGAAAAGAGAACTACTCTCTATTATAATAAAATGAAATATTTACACTTCAGTTTTCTTTATGGTTTAAAACACGAATTATTCAACAAAAAAAAAGAAAAAATATTAATCCCTTGTAAAAGCAGTATGTTAGAATTAGTGTTATGAATGCACTATGCTACGTGTCTGTTATTAACCGAGAAACAAGTAAAGTACTGCCGAATGTTGGCATTTATGGATTTTAGCGGTAGATTTATAAATAGTAGAGTTTACAGATTAATAAAACGTCAGAAATAGAGATACATTTATTCCCTTAAATGAATATTCACGGCCTAGGAAAAAATATGTGATTGACTATTTGTCTGCGATCAGTATATATTTTATTGTCTCACACTTTTTGTAGAGGATACCAGATACGTGATGATTAATATGATTGTATATCAGAACTCGAAACGAATCAAGAAAAGTGAATTCAATTGGATTTGGGACAACATTTTCAAAACTTAAATCAGTTTGATTCCACTCACTTTAATCAAAATTGGCGCCAAGTCTCTTTCTTTGTTTTCGGATGTTCGTTCCGCTTGGAGTTAGCACACTTAAGCAGAATATGCAAGTAGAACTTTCGAACAGTCCATGAAATAATTCTGATATTTTTACACACGTTAGCAAGAGTCACAAACTCTAAGTTGTTAAAATTACAGAATATCAAACATTTAACACGTTTAACCGCTTACCTAACGGATTAGAGCTTTTCAATTTTCATGAAAAACGGGATAATAGTAAAACATGAAGACACCCACATACATCTACAGACAGCTGCACAGACAGCACACAGACATCCACAGAAAACCCAAATCAGCTACACGGACAGCTGATTTGGATTGTCTGTGGATATCTGTGTGCTGGCTGTGCAACTGTCTGTGGGCTGTCTGTGAGTGTCTTCATGCTTTACTATTACCTATGAAAAACGCGTATGAACGTAGTTTTCATCTTTTTCTTATAAAAGCGTGTTTGAAAGCGATAGAATTAAGTTTTTTCATATAAACTAACGTGCGTTAGAGTCAAAATTATTTCATAGAATGAATTACAGCAAAACCAGCAAAGAAAAGAATATAAGCGAGAAAAATCTTGCTCACAAGATCAGTATTTCTATTTATTATTTTCGATCAAACGTAAAAGTAATATGTTATTCCTGCTGATGGATCTAAGTTTGAACGATGCTAGGTGCAATAATCAAGTT